TAACCATTTATACCGACGGATCAAAAACTAGGAGTGGCGTAGGTAATACAGTCTTTATCAGTAGAGCAGAAAATCCTCTTACTATAGGCTTCCAGATCACTGTAAAGTTTTTTCCCTATTAAGGAGACTGTAGCTTGTCTGGAAGTATATGAAACACTTAATAGCAATATAAATATATTGTCAGACAGTCAAGTTACTTTGAAATCATTAAGTTTAGTTCAGTTTATATCTAGGACAGTCCTTATATGCTAAACATCTTTAAACGAGATGTCAACGCAGTTCAATATTTTTCTAATCTGGGTTCCCGGTCATAGGGATATTTTCGGCAATTGCAAAGCAGACAACCTGTGCAGAACTTTTTAATAAAAGATAGAAAGATTCAAAGATATGTAGTCATCTGCATGCAATTTGGTCACATTCCATTAAAAAGATATCCAATTCTCTCATTGAAATGCTCTCGTGGAGAAATCAGTCTTGTGGTAGGTTTACTCGCAGTTCACAGCATATGAGGTAACCATTCTAAAAGATTGAATCTCCCTTTCAATCATACCTGCCGCAGTTAAAAAAAGGACGATAAAAGTGCATCTCACCTGCTTTATTTCTGTCCGGCACATGCGTGACGCCGCCTTACCACTTTAGGGGCTTTCTTTTTTGCAGATACTATTAAATTGCAAGACCTCTCCTGTAATAGCATTATAAGCTTTTCCAAAGGTTGTAAGTCTTCTATATACGGTAACATAATGGGCTTATAGGCGTACGTAGATCCCTTAGAATCGCCGGTATAACCTAAACTAACCTATTTAAACATTGTTTTGTTACCATGAGGAGAAATTTAAATAAGATTTTTATTTCAGATCTATATTTTGTATGTAAGCCATATCCGTTAATTATTGGCTTCCATAGCGAAATGTCTTATTAAACCTGGGTTTATACTCAAAAATTAATTAGTAACCACTTTATCTACAATGAAAAGAAATTTATGGTGATACAAGCCACTGATCGGGCTGGTTGAAGGAGGTTTTTGGACACGACCGAGAATAAGTCAAGTCTGTAATGACCAACTACGTAAGTAAGTAAGTCGGTTTTAAACAACCGACTTGACTTTTGTTTCATAGATTAAATTGTTTAAAAATGAAATTTTGGATAGAGTAGTTATTAGTTCACTTTTTTAATTATTTTTAATTAATAAAAAGGCTGAAGTGAATTAAAAATAAAAACTTATAGATTAGTTGTTGTTATTTTTGTTATTATCTATTATCAATTTGTATCTTTTTATCAATAAAAAATAAAATTTTGTTCGTGAATGTCATTACTGTTCACTCTTTTAAACTCTTTCCATTCAATGTCTTTCAAAAATCTGAACTGTGAAATTTCTATCATGTTTTTGTCACACCTTAAATATTTTTTTATTAGTATAATAAATAGATACTAGAATAAGTTTTAACATATGGATAATTTAACTAATTATATTTTATTAGCAAAAATATTAGAAATCTGTTTTTCTAATTATCGATTAATATTTCAGATTTATATTAAAAAAAGTAGAATAGAAAGTAATTATTTAGATGCTCCAGTGTTATTAATTGAAATTTTAAAAATAACATTAAAAATTAGCAATATTAATGAAAATATCATTAATCTTGAAATAATAGCAAATCTAGGAGATTCAATAAATTGCATAATTGACGAAATTTATTGTGAATAAAAAATATTTAAAAAATTTACAAAATTGTGATAATTTCGATTTAACATTATTAACACCTTGAAGCAAGTCATTGATATATACAATATATATTCATTTTTGTGTGTATATAAATAAAGTACAATATATTTATTTTTATAAATTACAAATCATACTGAGATACTGAGATATTTGAGTTAAAAATAAATTGACTTTCAATGAAATTTGTATGTTCATCATACAAATTGGCATTAAGTATTTTATTAAATTTTGGGCACATAAAAATTAATTAAATTTGAAAGAAATATTAAAAATTGTTTAAAAATGAAATTTCACTGTCAATTTTGTAATGTTTCCGCGTGAATTCCTTTCAATATATCAAAAATTAATATCTATACTTTTATGATAGCCAATTTAAGTTTTATATTTTTAGCAGTTGGATTTTCCAATTCACAGTCGCGATTCTTTAGCTTTGTTTGCGGTTTTTTGGTTTTTAATTAAGAATTGATTCCAGCTCCGAATATTAACAAATTAAGTAATATTTTATTTATTAGCATATATTTATTTAAAGCTGATGCGTTCATTTGGTCATAAAAGAAACTAAATGAGACAAGATTCTTTACAAAACTTAGCTTATGTTAGATGCTCTATAGACGAAGTGTTTTTATATTTAAATTTACTGGTTTTCACTTTTTGCTGATATTATGATACAATTTATTTATATTATAATTTTTTTCAATATTAATAAAAAAAATTTTTTGTTTTTTTCAATAATTTTTTTATTATTTTTATTTTGTTTTTGCTAACGAAAATTCAAGTATTTGTGCAAATGTAAACCAAACATCTGAACGAAACCTAATTTGCTATGAATATTTATAAGTGGCGCATGAGAAAACGCTTTTGACTTATATTATTAATGATATATTAAGGATTATTAATTGTTTTGAACAAATTAGTTTCAAAAATTGAAAATTTTGAATGGAATTTAAAACTCATTCTAAATCACAGTGGAACTATTTTTCAAAATAGGTAATAAGATATAAGTATTTGTTTATGAAGACTAAATAACAAGTTTATTTTAATTACTATGTTGACCAATTATGAATTTAGATTTCAGCTAGTCTTAAATATCGACACTTCTATACTGCGTATATTAAAAACGCAGAAGTGCACCTTTCTTTAATTAAAAATTTGTTAATTAAATAATACGTTAATTATCAAACACTAGTACTCTGCACTAAAAACGGAACTGTATATTATACACCATGAAAGAAAATACTTGCCAGTAGATGTACTCCGACTACAGATCAAAAATCTGCGGAAAGCTTATTTTCATTTAGCAAATGACAGCAAAAATGGGAGCAGTCCTCTAAACGACGATGGACCTATGCACTCATTCCCAACATTAAATATAGTATGACAAGAAAACATGGTGAAGTGGACTACAATCTAACTCAAATATTGAGTGGACCCGAAGGCTTTTTAGAATATCTTCACTGATTTCAACTGACAGATAGTCCCATGCTGCCACAACGTCGCTGAAAGCGCAAAGCATGTAGTCTTTCTTTGCTACCGCTTTAAAGCAAAAACGGGAACTACTCGTGAAGGCTCAAGGACATTTACCATCTCCTTGCAGCATACACATGAAATGCATTCAAGCAGTTTATATGGAGTGCAGTAAAAACGTTCACATATCAAATTATGTGGCGCCTCTTTTTAATAGAAATTTCAACACCACAAAAACGTTGTTATGACTGTAACTATGCATATTTTTACTCAGAGGGTTAAGGGTTAAGGATTAAAGCCCATTCAATTGCAATGTGGAATTAGTAGTCAGTTACAAGAAAGCTCTCAATGACATCATCACTATTTAGATAGTGCGCTATCTGGTTATCTCTTTGTAAATTTTTGAATAGGATTTGAATGACGACAGAACTTTTAATGCTCTTTAGAATATCATCTTCAGAAGTTCTTATGCTATACTGATTAGACATAAAGATGGCTGCAAAAACAACTTATTAAACGGTTGGTAACGATTATATGACTTTAAAACATTACAAAAGTTTTATCTCAATATAAATCCTTAGGACTTTTTTTGAGCTTCATCTGGATCTGTACTCTTTTTGGACACTCCGTTTATAAAGCAACACAAAAACATAGCACACTTTTCTAAAAGCGAATTGTCATCCACTCATACGTGCTTAACTCAATCTTTAATATTTGATCACTATAAAATAAAATCTGGAACACACTGGGGTGCTTAATTTTTGCGTTATAATAATAATAATTTCAAAATTATAATTACTTGCAGTGGAATGGTAGAAAAGTATGTGAGTACTGAAATTTTCCTCGAAAGGTTTCCTATCATTTCATTTAATAGACTGTCGAATTAGTTTTGATCGTTTATCGCGAACGATATCGTGTACTTATTAGTTTAGTAGTTGCAAATCTACGAATTTTTATTTTATGTTATATTATACATTTTCAAAAGCATGAAAAAAAACAGGTGTCACTTATCTCGTACTGTGACAATAACTCATATTTGAATAAGATTTGAATTGAGTATTTTAAAAATTCTTTCAAAAATATTTGAGTTTGCTTCATTGTGCTTATTTAAAAAATTAGCAGTGGAATGCTATATTATGCGCATAACTCTCGTAAAGTCTGTAATAAGGAAGTCCATAAAGTCGGCATATAAATCAAAAATTAATTCTCATGATAAATGTCATTAGAGGCTTCTTTTCGCCCCCAGAGGAGTAGCTGGTATTCCGAGCATTTATCTTAATAGATTTGTTCACATTAAATTATGTGTAGCAAATGAATTATTTCACATGGTTGGTCATCACCCTTTAATTAAGTATTAAACCTGTTATTAATTTTGTTTTAATGAATTTAGTTTCTTAATTTTGTGTTTTATTAATTTTTAATGATATTTGACAATCTCCTCCTAATCGATAAGTTTATTTGTTTTGAATCAGTGTATTCGAAATCGGTTTCCGAATTTTTGCTAATGGATACATAACCGAGTAAATACGGGTATTTACGGGTTGTTACTTGACTCAGAAGTTATTTTGGTTATTTCGAATTGGTAATCATGTTGTGTTATTTTAATAGATTATAAATATTTATTTTTGGTTATTTTTGACAGATTTAGTTTCTACCACACAAACAAAACAGAAAATTAAATAAAAATTCAAGAAATTATTAGCCTTTGAGCAAAGTTCTTAAATAAATTTTGTATATTTTTTATATATGAAATGAAATAATTTTTAGAGTATAAAAAGAATAGTTCGAATAGGTGTAGAACATTAGTAAACCGAACAATTTCAGTGAGAACAGTTCAAATTTCTAAAAAATAAAATCAAAATGGTACGTCCAATTTCGAATACTAAAAAAAATATTAAAATAAAATTCTATTTGATGGCTCAAGAAACTTATAATGAACAACACTAAACTCCTTACAGAAATTCCTAGTTGTTATCTTCGCCTTCGCAGCAGTGGCATTCGCTGATGTCTCACATTTAAATAATATGTACTTGCCGCCTGTACATCATGGATCACATCCAGCTGCTTCTGATAATGTACCCGTAGCAGCACCACACAGCGTTGATTATACACAACAAGCTGAGGATATACCAGCAGCAATTGGTGCTGACACTTATACTCCCGCACATTTAATTGAAGCCGAACAAGAACATCAAGCTTCAAACAATTATGCAGCAGATGTACCAGCACCTGTAGAAGCCGTCGAAGAACAACAAAGTATCGATCAGAACACTGTAGAAGTTGCAGAAGAAACCAGAATACCAACAATAATCGGCGCTAATACATATACACCATCCCATCTCTTGGGCAATGATGAACCACAACAAATTCAACCTGAAGCCAGCAATGATCAGTTGTCAGCCGTACCAGTCGGTGAATATGTAGCTGAATCCCATAACATCGTACATCACCAACATCAAGCCGATTCAGGTATTGATACACAGTACGGCTCAAACGGTGGTTATGTCTATTAAAATTTCAAAAATAAGGTGTTTGTGATAATGTTTAATGAAATCCGTGTTTGACAAAAAGAAAAATACATATATTTTTTATGGAAACTCAAACGAAACTTTAATTTATTTGCATAAACGCATAACATCCAATTTAAAGTAACAAAAACAAAGCAGTCATAAATTAAATGCAGTAAACTTAATCCATGCCGTAACCGGTAGTTACTCAAACCACTTCGAATGCATGCGAAATTCCAATAATTCATGTAAAGTGAAGAGTGAACTTGTTAGACCTGCCTTTTCCGTAGTAACAACTTAAGTCAAATTTACGTCATATATTTAATTTATTTAAATTTTTATTTACATAAAATTTTACAGTTTTAGTTTTTGACTTTTATAAACTGATTAAAATAATGAAAGGCGCTTAAGCAGTCAAATGGGTCTACTAAATTTCATATATACTCTACAGGAGTAAAATGACCACAGTTGAGTTACTGTTTAACCCATTGCACTCAATGTCTACTCTAACGGTCCCGTCGTGTGGTTTGGGTAATGTAAGCAACTTAGAGAGAGATATGATAAACAAGTCATGTGAATCTCTAAGTTGCTGCGAATGAGGGAGGGAACTTCAATGCAGCCACTTCGACATAATCAATTTTATATAAAGGTTCATCGAACTTATGACATCTTTATTTGATTTGTCACTATATGGTTTTTTGGTTGGATATAGTCATACAATGTTATACTAACAAATAGAAAAGAGAATATGGGTATGACGAATCAAAACAGTATTTTTAAAATTAAATCAGTACTCGTGAAAAAATCACAGAATTTTGTATAAAGTGTTTCTTAAATCGAGTTTTGTAAGGGCAACTGCGTTATAATCACTTTTAAATAAGGGTTCATCGAACTTGTGTCATATTTGTCTGTTATCATGTTTAATATTCATTACTCGTCACCATAAGGTATTTTGGTTGGATATAGTCAAACGAATTTATACTGTAAAATATAAATTTAATAAGGATTAAAACGAATCAAAACATACCAGTACTCATGAAGATATCATACATTATCTTTCTATGGTGCTTCTTAATTGGTTGTAATTAGTTAGAGTTAATTTAAGAACAACATTATATTGTCTTCAAAATCATACCGATATACGATATAATATTGTACATTATCTTTCTATAGCGCTCTTTGGTTGAACGCAGTCAGATAGAATTATAATGACAAGTATACAATAACTTAAGATATCACCATATTGTCTTTTGAACTAAATGGGTGCTCAGTAAATATCATATTTATTTAAAGTGTTTAGTTGTAAACATTACTGAACACTGCCAAGACTTTATTGAAAGCTGCATTTGATATCTAAATTAAACACACTTTGTGTATATATCTAAATTAGTTCTTACAAGTGTACGATTATAACGATACTAGAAGCATCCAAGTGTACACGAATTTATGTGTCTATGAATCGAACATCTTGAATATTCGAAAATACTTGAGCTACTCGAAAGCTACAAAGTAGCTTTTAATACAATTTAAAACATTCATTTAAAACATTCATGATTTATAATTGAGCACTTATTCTTAATTCCAGATTCACCCAGGAATAAATAGAGAAATACTGAATACATAATACTTAATAAACAGCATGTCAGTTATTCAACTCAGTTAAAATGAATGTAGGGTGCATAATTTCGCTTAAAATCAAAAGTTTCTCAAGTTCATGAACATTTCTACAGACCAAGTGAATGTGTGTGAATAATATTTCCTTTGTTGATATTTTTAATTATTTTTATGGATTAAAATTTTAAATTTACTTTTATTATATATTAAATTTTATTTGATTTTATTGCACTTTTTATTACATATTTTATTGTGTTTTAATTTTTTTAAACTTATATTTCACATTAACCACTTGAAAATAAGTCCAATGATATGCTTTTAATGGGTTTATATATTGTTTTTGATTAAACCATCACACACATGGTACATCATCTTAACAACTTGTCATACCAAAAACGCAATCTCTTCCCAATCTGTTCCATTCCTTCTTTTATGCTATCTTACATAAGTTAATGAAGTCACTGGATTATGTTTTTGTGATGCACTGGCATTTCCGGCTTAAGTGTTACAAAGTCCCAAGGTAGTCGTGTTCTGGTTACTCATGCAAAATTTATGAAAGTTGCTTTTGATGAGTGCAGCTGCCTCTCTTTTTATATATATATATATAAATTAATAATTAATGTAATTACAAAAAAAAACAAAATAAAACTAAACTAATTGACATTTATTTCGAGCAAATTCGAGCAATTAATACACTAGTTAAACAAATTGTTTTTAATGATTACATCTTGATTACTTATTATTACTATGTTTTAAAAAACTACAAGTAATTTAGTGAATTTATGAATTATCTTCCATGAAAAGTATAAAATTATGCTTATATATGGTAAATACAATACAATTTAGTGTGACTGTTTTCTCTTTTCCAACCTTGAGAAACCTTATACCTGACACAGTGGATTGTCTTAAAATATTGGCTAAATTATATTTATGGAATTAGTTGAAAAGTAAAAGAATCATTCAATCGAATCCATTGAGCTAAGAGAAGACTATGTTGAGGTATTAAAATAAATGAATTAAAAAGTGTATATCTTTATTCTTAATCTATTATACCCCAGCAGAATAATTATATTTCTATTCAAATTTCTGCAATAAGTTGGAATACTTTAAGATTTGGGTATAATGGTTCACTCAAGACTGTCACTCCACGCTAACCGTAACTAACATGAAACTGCATAAGGGCTTTGTTGTATCCTGCCGAAAAAGTGTACTTTGAAAATTTCTCTGTAGTATCAAAAGGCTTGAGGCAACCGAACTGGCAGTAACCACTATCCTTATATCTTATATCTTTAACAATTCAAGCATTTTGTTATATTCAAAATGTTTTGTTTTTACTATTAATCTATTAATTTTTTTTACTCATATATTAAAGTATGTTTTTATATGAAAAACTGATGCTGATAGACATTTGTAGAAGTGCTGCGTGATATAGATCACAAATTTCTTTCGTATTGAAACTTGATCTACCTGGAATTTAAACAAAATCCCCAAGCAAAGTGAAAGGCATAATAAAAATAAATAAAATGCTAAATTAGAAATTATAAATTATTTTATTTTTGTATAAATTTCGTTAGCATTTACTCTTTTTTTAATCGATTAATTTAAAATTTGATAAACTAGTTTATCAAAG